GGAGGGCAATGGCATCAGCCTGTAGGGGTTTATATGGGGAGGGTGTGGTGTGGTCTGGTGGCAGCACTGAGGAAAGAGACGCCTTGGCCCCCTCCCTGAACCTGCAGGACATGGCGGAGGTGTTCAGCTTCTACTGATGGGGACCCAGGAGCCATATGTCCCTAGAGAGAGCCTGGTCTCAGCCTGGGCAGAGGGTTACAGACCTGCAGGAGGAGGCTGAGGTGGAAGTTGTTAGAGCTTGGGCCTCACAGACAGACAGGGCAGGAGACGGGGGGCAGTGAGAGCCAGAGGAAGGAAAGGGAGGCAAGAGGCTGCAGATGGCTGGGCCCACGGCCATCCACACACCTCTGCTCAGCCACCAGATACCTTGAGAGGACCCACCAAAGGTTGGATGTAGCAATGACAGAGAGGAGAGGAGAAGCTCCAAGCTTACAGATGTGATTGCGAAAATGTGTATTAAAATAAACAAACACCTCTTTAACCCCAAATGGAAAAAAAAGACTGCAAAGAAATATAGTAAACTCTTAACACTGGTTGTTTCTGGGTAAAGAAGGCCTTCAGTAGTTTTGTACTTGTCCAAATCTTCTGTCCCCAGTACCTAGAATGGTGCTGGGGCATAATTGGTGCTCCATTAACGTGTGGTGAATGAACTGCTATTATACTACACAGCTAAAGGACATGACCTGCTCATACAGCCGGGGCAGGGGCAGGATGGGAAACATCTAAATGGAACCAAAAGATAGCCTGGCCCTACCATCAAGTGCCTCCCCCAGGCCCCACCACAGGACTGCCCACCCCCAACACTGGCTCTCAGACATCCAGGCACTCCACTGGGGCTCTGCTGTCCCTTCTGCTTCCTATGGCCAGGGGCACAGCAGACTCCTCCTGGGCCCAGGCAGCCCATGGCTCAGAGCAGGCATCAGGCTTGCCCTCATGCCCGGGGCTGTGGCCAGGCAGCGGGGAAGGTGAACTTCCCTGGCTCGGGCCAGGCCAGGTCTGATGGCAAATGCTCCTCCCTACTGTCACATCCTTTCTGGTCCACCCGAAGTGCACTGCCCTGCCCTCAGGGAATGTACAGTCAAGTTGGAGAGACCATAATGCCCCCACTAGGGATCCCATAGGGAGAGGCCCGCTGCCAAGAGGTATCTAGAAGAACAGAGAAATGGATGGGAGCCCAAGAGAGGCAGAGAGGGGGGTTTAACAAGTGCAGATTGCGCCTTATGCCATGGGCTTGCCCGCTTATGCCATGGGCTTGCCCGCTTATGCCATGGGCTTGCCCGCAACGGGCTCCTTTAATCCTCTCAGAACACTGTGGAATGGAAACATCAGGTTTACGGCGAAGCCAAGAGAAGGGACATGACTTGCCCAAGGTCACACAGCTAGCAAGGGGCCCAGTCAGAATGAAACCCGGGCCTGGGTGGCTTCAAATCATTGCCCCCAGGCTGCATCAAGAACTAGAGGTAAAAGAGTGGCTTCCTGGAGGAGGGGGCACGTGTGTCAAGGGTGTGATGCACCCGCATCTGAGGCTCAGCATCCCCAGAGTGAGGTGGGTGGGGGGAGCAAGGGTGCAGGCCAGCCTGAGCACCCCCATTCCATGGAGAAAACACGGTGGGGCAGGGGAGGCCCTGCAGGGCAACGGGCCCAGAAGGTGAGGGGTGACAACAAACAGGGCTCCCTCAGCAGGGACAGGAGGGGAGATAAAGCATAGTAATGAGCTCCCTGAGGCCTTGTGCCTCCCTCTGGGACCCAGGGGCTGTCACCACAGCAGCACCAGGAAGCAGACTGTGATTGGTCCAGAGTGCCACAGCCTCCCGGGGACAGAAGCTCCTAGTGATCAGCCTCCTGGCCCTCAAAGCCTCCAGGAGGGCCAGGTGCCCCAACACCCTGCAGGGGGGACCTCTGGCCCAGAGACAAACACAGGGCTGCCGCGGTCACACAATATTGACAACAGGCCTCCCCCTGCAGGTTCTGGGGCCCTCGCTCCACTCAGATGAGGAGCTATACCAGGGGACCACCTGAGGCCAGGCTCAGGGCAGGCGCAAGCTGAGGCTCCTCCCTACAAACGACCAGACAGCCGTTCCCCAGGAGGGGACACAGCAGGCCAGGCTTCAGCCCCACCGAAGGTCACAGAAGGCCTATGGCAGCAAGGCTGGTGGCGGGGCTGCTGGCCAGTAGCTGGGTCCAACAATTTTGGGAGGGGCTCCATTCTCAAAACTTTCTTGAGCCATCTCTGTGCCAGGCTCCCTGCTGGGCTCACAGGGAAACTATAAATGGGCCTAGCTCTCTCCATGGGGAACTCACCTTGGAAGGAGAGGCCACAGAAAAACACAAAGTTATAGGGCAGGATGGGAGGGGTGGGGCCAGCACTGTAGGATTCCTGTGTGCCACCTCCAGCCCCAGACTGAGCCCTGACCTAGCTGACGATGGGGATCAGAGGCAGGGGGGGCCTTGTTCTTGGCTCAGAGAAGGGTGTTAGAGCCTGGAGGCAGAAGGATGAGGACAGTCCTACACCTGGAGAATAGTGCCAGGCCCCGACCCTTTCTGGGACTTGAGGCCCATGAGGAAAATGCTCCCACGAGGCCATCCCTGCTCAGACGCCCCATGACTGCAGCAGTGGCCTTTGCAAGGGCCCTACAGCCCGCAGTTACCCCAACCCCCCAGGACCACCAGGGGCCAGTCCCTGGGGATGCCCACCTGGGGCGGCTTTGAGAGGTCACACTCCATTCAGAATACATGACAGCAGGGCCCCACCACAGTCCCCGCCTTGGCTGAGCGCACAGCTCCTTCTAATGGCTGAGGAGTGTCTGAGAGGATGAGAACAAACCCACTCTGCTCCTTATGTCCCGCGTACATGAGAATACCCGTTATAATCTATGAATATTAATTATTATAATGCAGCCACCATTCATGGAGCACAGCACTGTGCAAGGTCTTTTAAGTACAGTGTCGCATTTCACCCTCACAACTCCCTGAGAGGGAGCTACCCTGATATCCTGATGTTTGGGGTGAATAACCTGGGGCTATTTATAAAGCTGCCATATGGTGAGGCTGGGGCTCGCACGTAAGCCTGTATGGCTGAGATGCCCAGTGCTCTTAAGCTCTGCTGCTCGCTCCTAATAGGAACAGCAGGAAGGGCAAGGATGAGAAAGAGGCAACGACTTGTATTTGCTG